TTTCAAATGGCCCATCAATAGACCCGAGTTGAATAAACAATGGTGAAGGCACACAATGGGGCTGCAAAGAACAAGGACTGAGTCTGCGTACTGATGTGGAGTGATAAGCTAGGACACGTTTTTAGGTGAAAAAAAGCAAAGTACATAGCATCAAGAAGTATGTTATCTTTTGTGAAAGAAAAATGAGGAAATAATTTGCTTATTCTTAAAATGTTACACTAGAAGGATAAATTAGAAATCACTGAAAATGATGGACAGAATGGCTGGAGGTGGGAGGTAACAGAACAGGAATGAAGTGGAGAAGATAAATGGGAACAGATGGACCTAACTCTGTATGCCAGTGATAATACAACCACACAGAGAAGAGATTAGTGACTTTTGAGCAAAATATGCTGACTATAAGAAGTGCAATATATATTATATATATATTGCACCTGCTTATGGGTGCAATATATATATGGCACCTGCTGTCTTTCATGTGATTCCAATACTAGAGTCAGGCTGGAATTTGGTGTCTTATTGCTACAAAAATTCTGTTTTGTCAGCTTTAAGGTCTCTATTTTAATGGTAAAGCTGGTCAGCTATGCCTGAATTCCAAAGGGAGGAGGTTATAATGAGGCATGTCATTATATATATATATATATATATGTGTGTATGTATATATATATATGTATATATATTTACTAGGAATGACATTTATATTGTAATTTTTAAATTGCTTTACAGAATTAGGATAAACATAGGCAAATATATTCAGGATTTTAATAAACAAGAGTCCATCAACAAAAAAAGTCAAACTCTGTAAAATATTAGCAGAGATATAGTCTGAGCCAAATATGAATGACCATGGCCCATGACACAGTCCCGGGAGAGCCTGAGAATGTGTGTCCAAGGTGATTGGGGCACAGGTTGGCTTTATACATTTTACAGAGACATAAGACATCAATCAATACATATAATGTATATATTGGTTTTTTCCTGAAAGGCAGGACAACTCAAAACTGAGGGTGGAAATGGGAGCTGCTTCCTGGTTGTAGGTGTATTCAAAGATGTTCTGATTGACAATTGCTTAAAAGAGCTATTAAATAAAGACCTGGAATCAATAGAGAGGAATGTCTGGGTTAAGATAAGGGGTTGTGGAGACCACAGATGAAGCCTCCAGGTAGCAGGCTTCAGAGCTCTTATCAGACCTATAAAGGTGCCAGACTCATAATTAATTCTCTCTTGGATGAGGGAAAAGACCTAGAAAGGGAAGGGGATTCTACAGAATGCAGATTTTCCCCACAAGAGATAGCTTTGCAGGGCCATTTCAAAATATGTCAAAGAAATGTATTTTGGAATAAAATACATCTATTTCTTCAGCCTGCTGTCTGTCATGTGATGCCAATACTAGTGCCAGGCTGGAATTTGGTGTCTTAGTGCTACAAAAATTCTGTTTTATCAGTTTTAAGATCTCTATTATAATGGTAAAGCTGGTCAGCTATGCCTGAATTCCAAAGGGAGGAGGTTATAATGAGGCATGTTCAAGGCCTGCATCCCATCATGGCCTGAGCTAGCTTTTCAGATTAACTTTGGAATGCCCTTGTCCACAAGGAGGAGTCCATTCAATTGGTTGAAGGACTTACAATTTTATTTTTGGTTTCCACTCTTAGTGTAAAATGAGATATATAATTAAAATCTAAATACAATAAGATAAGCAAATAAAAAATGAGAAGAGCTACACATACACAAATCTAAGAAGAACATTTTTGAATTATAATTAATACTATGAATTTATAATTTTTTTGAAGTGTGTGTGTATGTGTGTTTGTATGTGTTCCTATCTGTGCCCACTGAGAAGGCCTAGAAATGCCACTTCAGTATACTATATGTGATGGCCAGATCTTCGTTCTAAATATATTCTCCACCAAAAGGAAGAGAGAAGGCTAATTACAGATATGGGCAAGCTGAGCTGAAGATATCTTCTTAGTTCAGAAATGAAAGAAGCTTTTAATGATCAAAGGAGTGTGCTAAAAAGACATGAGAGCTAGCTTGAAGTCCAGGCCTCCCATTAGCCAAATTTTGGACAATTTGAACATCAAAAAGAATAAAGACTTCAATATGTTGCCAAACGCTGAAAAATAAAGGTTTTATATTCTATAGTAAAATACAAAATGAAGAGTTAAACTTAGAATGATTTAAAAAAACTCGTTACAGACTATTGCGCTGACATAGAAAGATTAATTCAGGTAAAGACTTTTTCTAGCATTTGTAGAACAACAGGACAGGTAAAATGTATTATCCAGTTTAGCCCTCATGAGGCCCTTTGAGGTCTTATTATTCCCATTAAGGCACACAATAATTAATTTAATTAGTCCAAGATCACATCACTATTAAGTAACAAATTTTTAATCCAGATTTGTCTGGAGATGAGACCTGTCATTATCTGTATCTAAGGATACAGGTCTTCTGGGCAATGATGGTGTGGCTTCTCTGTGCAAAGCACACTGACAGATATTAGGATGAAATAAAAGCAGAGTGTATTTTCAAATTTACCTCTGCAAAAAAGGATGATACAGAAAAAAATGGCATGCCAAAGAGAGTGTGAGCCAAATGTGACCAATTAGGGAAATTTTTATACATAAGCTCCATCCAAATGGTCACTGTGGCACTGCTGGCCTTATGGACTAAGGAAAATGCATTGCAGAGCAAGGGAGACAGCAGCCAAGTGTGGTAGCCAGTTGTGTGGGGTGGGGTGGAGTGCAGGGAGGACTAGAATATCATTTTGGGGCCACTGAGTGGGGAGGGCTCTTGAATTTAAAGTCTTTAAAATTCACCAAAGCTAATTCATGTGTGTCTTAAACATAAATACTGCTCCTTGGGTGGCAGACAGGAGAGACACTGGGCCCAGACATCATAAATTGGGTGTCTTCAAGAAATGCAGGTACTGGCCCCCTGGAAACACAGGACTGGAGCTCAAGTGAGAAAGTACAATTGGAACTATAATTTGGGAGTCATCGCCAAACGAATGATTGTTAAAACTTTGGGTCCTCTGAAAGAGAAGAGAAGAGTTCAAGGGCAGAATCTTAGGGCAGTGTCTGAACAGGTGACAAAAAGAACAGAAAGTTCAGGGCTGGGCGTGGCAACTCATTCCTGTAGTCCCAGCACTTTGGGAGGCCAAGGAGGGAGGATTGCTTGAGCCCAGGAGTTTGAGACCAGCCTGGGAAACAGAAACACCTCATCTGTACAAAAAAAAAATTTTTTTAAGTTATCCAGATGTGGTGCTGTGCTCCTGTGACCAGAGCTGCTTGGGAGCCTAAGGTGGGAGGGTCCCTTGAGCCCAGGAGGTTAAAGCGGCTGCAGTGAGTCACAATCATGCCAACGCACTCCAGCCTGGGTGACAGAGCAAGACTCTGTCTCAAACACAATACAGAAAAGGAAACAGAGTTCAGGGAGGGAGAAGGGGGCACATGCAAGCAGGGAGCCATGTGCAGAGCTTGGCCTCCAGAAATGGGGGCTCTCCACCTCCTCGGCAAACTGGAAAACCACCAACACAGAGCATGAGTTATTGTGCTTAGAATTATTCAAAGGCCGGCTGTTATCCTGCAGTTTGCTGCATTAATTTATTTTTTAAAATTTTGCAGATGGACCTTTTTCATCTCTTTGATGACTTCACACATTATAATTAAACACATTTTGGTTGTGAGCACATTATCAAAGACATTAGAAGCAAAGAAGGGGGAGAATAAGAATTTTGCAAACTGTTGAAGATAAAAGTTGAGGGCCTTTATTTAGGATGCAGTAATTAATGGTGTTTGAATTTTAGAGGGAGGTGTAGAGGCAGAGTAGTTGCTCATAGCTGAATGAGGTGTACAGGCATGAGCCGTAACAGAAAGCCATTAATCTTTTTTTTTTAAAAAAATGTGTTTTAACTAACATTGGAATTCTTTCTGATACTCATCTCTCCATGTCCTTGATCTTAAAGTACAGATATGACGCCTCTGTTGGCTGATATGTTATAGCCGATGTAGTAGTGACTGAGAATTACAGAGATCCTCAGTTCTCATGGAAGATTGTGAAAGATATACTCCTGCAACACACTAAGACGATGCTTCTCAAAGTGTGTCCCCAAACAAGCAGCATCCGCATCACCTGAGAATTTATCAAGGCAAATTCTCAGGCCCCATCCCAAACCTAGTGAGTCACAAACACTGGGGGTGGGACCTGCAACCACTGTTTTCAGCAGCCCTCCAGGCCATTGTAATGTATGGGAATGTCTGAAAACCTGCTCCAGGAGGCCAGGAAGATATACTGTATTTATGTCACTTCAAGGAGTTTGCTTGTTTTAGGGTATCTCTGCCAAAAGTGTCCTGAAGAAGACTGGTTCTTTGAAGGTCCCAGTTAGTTATACTTTTTTCTGTGATTATTTAGAATTAATTAAATCAAATGGTTGCAGATTTTAGCTCCAAAATGGAATAGTTAATGGGTCACAGTGTTGTCTCTTATAAAAATTTTACATGACATTTGTTTCATTTTAGAAAAAAAGTATTTCATATTACTGAAATTATAATTTTGCCACTGTCCTTCATAAAGGAAACTGAATAAAATATGTACTGTTGGTTGGGTGCAGTGGCTCATTCCTATAATCCCAGCACTTTGGAGGGTGGATCACTTGAGGTCAGAAGTTGAGGCCCAGCCTGGCCAACACTGTGAAACCGTCTTTACTAAAAATACAAAAATTAGCTGAGCGTGGTGGCACGTGCCTGTAATCCTAGCTGCTTGAGAGGCTGAGGCAAGAGAATTGCCTGAACACGGGAGGCAGAGGTTGCAGTGAGCCAAGATGGTGCCACTGCACTCCAGCCTGGGTAATAGAGCGAGATTCCATCTCAGAAGCAAGCAAACAAACAAAAATATATATACACATATATATTTATATGTATTTATTGTAATGCTTAATACCTAATTATAAACATTAGATATTTATGTGCACATACAGTATAAAGCGTTTTTCTGCATTTCAGGTCCAAACTGCTTTGCAGAAACTGCTGTCATCCCTGCTGGCAGAGAAGTGAAGACTGACGAGTGCACCATATGCCACTGTACTTACGAGGAAGGCACATGGAGAATCGAGCGGCAGGCCATGTGCACAAGACATGAATGCAGGCAAATGTAGACCCTTTCCAGAACACAGACTCTGACTTTTTCTAGAACATTTTACTGACGAGAACATTCTAGATGACTCTGGGAAATATCAAGCAAAGGAGAGAAGACTTTTAATGAGGAATAATGGAAAATTGTTGGTCCTTTTGCTTTTCTTGATAACAGTTACTACAACAGAAGGAAATGGATATATTTCAAAACATCAACGAGAACTTTGGGCATAAAATCCCTCTCTAAATAAATGTGCTATTTTCACAGTAAGTACACAAAAGTACACTATTATATATTAAATGTATTTCTATAATCCCTCCATTAGAGAGCTTATATAAGTGTTTTCTATAGATACAGATTAAAAATGCTGTGTTGTCAACCGTCCTCACTGTGTACCTGCATATCTTTTTCAGTTCTGATTCTATCACCCGGGAATGTATGTTCCCCCTGCACATTTTCACAGGGCAGAGTCACCCATGAATGGATCATAAGATCTTAGACCAATTTCCACTGAAACCCTGTTTAAATTCTATTTAATTACAGACGTATATCTAATGTTGATCCTTAGAAAATTTAGTCTATTTCACATAAATATATTTCCTTCCTTCTTACAATAATATACTGCTTTTATCTGCTTCGTTCTTAGTCATTTGTGAAATGCAGGTGTAAAGATCACGAACTCACACTTTCTCAGTTCTTTCCCCTAAGCTCCTGTATTGTAGACCATAGGTAAACACATATGTATTTCATTCTTATTTATATTACTTTCTCTTCTAAATATAATTTTAATTCATTCCCTATATTGAGGAATATAGGCTGGAAAATTTGCATTACTGTTCCATCAAGCTGAAGCAGGCAACAAAATAGGGGAGGAGTCCTTTGATTCTACCAGGAGAATCAACAAAAATCGAACTCCTGAACAAATTTATATACTTGAAACCTAAATGTGCTACAGATATCTCAGCTCTCAGTTCATTGGAATCATATTTGTCATCAGAATGAGTCATCTATCCTCCATAAAGTACACAGTTAAATCCTGACTGATAATGTTGAATTAGCCACCCTTCACATGCAGAGTGAGAAAGTTCTTCTGTTAAAACAAGTCTGAAGGCCAATTGTTCTACACAACTTTCCTGTAGTTGATATAATTCCAAGCCAACTTCTTTTCTCTTCACTTGGACAGAGTGAAGAGACATAAAAAGCCACTGCCAAATCCTTCTAATCTAATCAAGGCATATTAGAAAATAGTTGTATCTTTATCAATCATATCAACATAGGATGCGTTGTGAAAGAGGTAATTGGAGTCTTAATAGGTGTAGGATAAAAAAAAGCAACACTATCATCATTATTCATGTCTCTAAAGGATTAAAATATACATAATCATTATTTGAAGCCTTTAAAGGGATTTTCCATATTTTTGTTTATTCTAAAATTTTGCATTAAGAACCTATTAAGTACAAAGCACTTGTGATGGCAACAAGGGAATAAGGCTTGATTTCTTGCCTTCTTGGACTTTTGGCCTCTGGCATAAGAAGTATAGGTAATTATAATGTATTGTGTTAAGAGCCAAACTAAGAGATCAGAAAATGGAGATTAGAGAGACATCCTAAAGAGAATATAGAGAGCATGAAAAAAATTATTATATAAAAAATTCAATCATTAAAGACTGAAAAATATTTGAGAAAAACAGATACATCTATCATAATTGAAAAATTAAACTGTTGTGAAACTTAGTAAATATAAAGATTCCTCTGACTGAGTCATCAAAACATTTACATATAATCATTTACTTTTTATCTTGTTCATAAAGAACATCTTGAGCCAAAGGGACTACAGGTACATAGGCTTCATGAAACTACTCAGGGAAATTATTAGCTAACTGCTCTCAGCTGTAATCAGCTTTCAAAAAAAACCTTTATTATTAAAGACTGCTAGACATTGGCCATCCCTCCTTTATTCAAGGATGGATTGTTAGAGACAGCTATTTAAAATTGTCATTTTGCTAATAAATGACCCTAGCCCCATGGGTAGGTGGCCCTTAGTAACCTCTTTATTCTTTGATTTGCATGATGCAATTAAAGACTCCTAAGTCCATGTGGCTCAAAGACTTCCTGTTTCCCTTGATAATAATTCCTACCAGAATGGATGATGAACTCTGAAATCATTGCAATGGTATTTTCAATGCTGTGAGAATTTCAGAAAACCTAGTATTTTGTTGCATATAGAGAGAACAAACATAATATCATCTTGGGAAATTAACTAATTCACTTGCTCTAAACTTAGTGTGACCTGCACGGTCATAGGCACATACTCCTAAGAGCTGAAGCTCAGTGGCTGTTACTACACCAGAGTTCCCTCTCCATCTCTGATTTCAACCCCTCATTTCTTTTCCCTCATAGAAATACTACATAAACCAAACCCATGGAAGAACTTGGATTGATGACACTGCACATACTCATTAATAATAATGGCATTATTTTCATTTTTGTCCAAGACCAATTTCTTCTTGCAGTTAGACTTTCACAACTGTACAGCTATCTCAGACATTCTATTTTCCTCTCCTCTGTTGTCAAAGAACTCTTTGCTGAGATTATCAACAACAAACCTGTTCTAGTGAATAAATATGCTAACTTCAATAACTGCCCAATAAAAAGAGGAAAGTATAAGTTACTCGATTTCAAAATAATATGGTTTGGAGAAGCACAGAAAAGGGGGCCTCAGAATTCAAGTATGGAAGTTCTGGAAAAGCCATAATCATTAAAATTCAAATAGGTCTGCTCTATAAGTACCTAATAATTGTTAAACGATATATTCAAGTTAATAAACTGAAGCGTGCTTACAAATGTATTAATGAATTTATTTCAAATTTTTCAACTATATTTAGATCTAAAAGTATAAAGCTACTCATGTAAGCAATACAATGGTTCTGGAAGTTATCTGATGTCTTAGAGGTTTTCAAGTTAAATTCATTCTTTCAGTCACAGGATACTTACTTGTTGGGTGGATTAACAATACTTTTTATTGACATTTCCCAGAAGTCTTGAGTAAAGTCAGCTCAAAAACTTGTATTTCATCCCTGCATGCAACAAGCATTAGATGCACTTGAGCCTGGTCAAGCCTTGCTATAATATTGCAGCTAGTGCAGATGGAGAGGCACAGTATCCTTGACATCAAGGGGTCTGTAAGCCTTGAAATAAATTTACATTTGATTGTATTACTTTTAATCTTTTGATACTTAAAATTTCATCATCTGCTTTGTGCAGTAAAACATGCTGAGAAGAATTCTCATACAGTTTTACGTTTGTAACATCATTAGTATGTCTAATAAACTCTCTTCTCTACTTCTCCAACATAAATGTTACATTTATACAAGGCTAAAAAGTCCTAACAAATCAGAAAATTCAAATCTTTCTTTAATATCTGTTTTTATTTTAAGCAGTGAAATGGGTTTATAAATGTACACATTATCTGAAACTTACAAAAGATATACTATTTCAAACAAGCATTGTTGGAAACTACATCCATTAAGTGTGGACTATTTAAACATATAATAAACAAAACTATTGACACAAAACTATTATTTTAAAAATACTAACGATTCGCTAAATTTGCTTCAATGGGCAAGAGATCAATCCTACTTTTCATTATTCTTTTTAATATCATATTTTTCCCCAACACAATGTAATAAGAAAAGAAGAGTATCAGATGTGCAAATAAGCACCATTGATAAAAACATACATGCTTCTTTGGCCAACATAATTTGTAACTTTCTTACTGAACCTACTTACCTACTCAATTTCTTTTCCTCACTAGTAGTGTCTGTGGATGGTTGATAAAATCAGTAACTATTCTGAAGAATTAGATAGACAGAGAGCAATTTACTTATTCAGGAATAAGGGCATTTTTACAGTACATATTTTTCACATTCCAGCTGCCACTTCCAAAGCTCAGGTTCTCATTGCTCCACAGCACAGATTAAACAGCCTATTTATACCATATCCTCACTCCAGACTAACCTCTTCAGTCTACTATTTTAGTTTTCTAAATGTAGATCTAGTTTTCAACTGAATTCTTTATTTTGAGGATTGCAATCACACACAAAATAACATCCAAACTCCTCAGCATGGAAGACTGGTGTCTTCACAATTAGATCATGGACCACACTATGACCCAGGCCCCTGTGGCTGGTGAAACCTCTGGGCCCTGGGTACTGGAAACTATACTCTAAACATGGTCTCTACTATCCCAGATCCTGCTCTGAGTGTCCTCTGCAGCACGTTGAGATAATAGCCATTTTCAATGGTCTAATTCAAGTGCCACTGCTGGTAAGAAGGCTTCTGTAGTTCTCGTTGGATGAATTGTCACTCTATGTCCCAGTAATAGTGTTAATTTTGTTTCTTATTTTAACATACAATTTAGAAATCGTACCATATTTTGAATAATAATGTTATGCTTGCTGCTTCTATTATTTACAAATCCCTTTAATTCAGACTGTGAGACATTCAATCCTGAAAACCACCCAATATCTTTATGTTAAAGGCTTGTTGAGTTATAGTCAATCTATTAGTTCAGAGTTATTTACTATTCTTGTTTAAGGACAATGTATATATTAAAGAGCAACTAAAAGCTCCCATTACTGTTTGCCATCCCAGTTGTCTTTGGATTTCTCTGTTAACTTGCAAGTATCAAATATCTAAGTCACAGACCCTGAGACACACCAAATACACCAAATACCCCATGGTGGTTTTAGGATGAAGTCTGACAGCTGTTGGCCATTTCTGATGCAAGTCAGAAAAAAAATTACCTTTGGTGTGAAATTTCTGATGCTGAAGAAACTTTCTTGTATTGAAGACACATTGGCCCTTTATGATAAAGAAGTCAAGTTTACAGCTTCAATATTTATTTACTTATTTCTAATTTCTGAAAAACAATTTTCTTAGCCTTTTATTTGTGGTATTGAGTATTTCTGCATGTTTTAATCTTTCTAAATAATATTATTAAACACCTCAATAGGTATCTAGTGAACTGACAAAATAATGAGCCCAGTCATTTGTACAGAAATGTAGTAGCTTCCATAACCTGAATGATAACTATTTAAAAGTGATGGTTGTCTATATTTTACAACAGTGTCAAATTTCACTCTAAATTTTGCAAAGCACCTGCTATCCTAGCCTAACACACAAATTTAGAAACTAATTCCAATGCCTAATTTTTAAATGAATAAATTTCATTGACTATTAAGTGACACTGACAATCACCCTGAAAAGTATTCAGCCAAAGTTTCAACAGAATTAGGAAATGTAAATGAAAATGTGCTCTCAGTGCTTGGCCTATGAGTAGTTTATGATTTAAGACATGCATGCTGTTTAACTCCTTCCTTTAAAGTTCAGAAAAGTACATAAAGCTTCTGACTGACTTATTATATAGGCACAGAATTATCAAAAGCAATCAAAATATATACCTAAAGTCAATTTAGTATATTATGAATACAGCCTGATGACTAAAAACAATTGCAAATATTGCTACTTTAGTTTTTAATTCAATTTTCAGTAAGTAGAAATATTTCTCAATTTTATTTAGTATCTAATTGTATTAAGATCAATGCATACATTAAAGTACATTTATATGATTAACATTTAATGATCATTATTTTACTTAATGATTAATATTTTCCATTATTTGAATTTCTGCAATTTATGTTTTAAAAAGAACTGTTTCCAAACACATTTTATGGAAAGATTTCATTTTTCCATTCCCTTTACTTTTATATATGCATTGTCAAATAAATACAATTCTATTTTTATTTCTATTAAAGTTCAGGGTTTATTATTTTCCTAAGCATATAACTCTTATAATTATAATGGAAAAAAAGTGACAAGCATCCAGTAATAAAAACCTATGAAACTATTAACGTTCTTTACATTACCAAGTAGTTTCATAGTTTTAAAAAGCCATTCTAAAGCAATCAATGAATGTATGTCATTGGCCAAAAGTTATGCTATGTTTCCTTCACTTATTATCACATTTAACCTCATAATTCTCCCAAATAGTGGGCAATGCTATCACCTTAGCTGCAGAAAAGTAAATATAGGCTCAGGGAAATTTAAAAACTGCCTTAAGATTCAGTCTAGTGTGTGAGGGGTTGAGTTAAGAATCCAAATCTGCTTTATACCAGAGATCATGATTTGAAGTCTTACCATTTGTGTTTAGGCCAGGGACTTCTAGAAATTAGACAGAAATTTCCAAAATGGTCTTTCATCCCACCACCCATAAGTAAGATAATGAATAGCAACACAGATCCCTAATTCTAGAATGCTAATCGTGATACTTGTCAAAGTAAATAGCAGCTCCTCACAAAAATGTTGTGACCTCCCTAGTTTAAATGCTTATTCTATATTTTGATTCCTAAATCTACTCTTTTTGAAAATAGTAGTCAAGCATCAGGTTGTTTAGATATGATTGTTACATTGAAATTTACAAAATATAACCAAATATTGTGACCCAATTTTTCTGGAGCCAAGAGAAGTAAATTGCTGTTTTTTAGGTGATGATTACATGACAAACACTACAATTTCAAATTTTGAATTATTTTATCTGATTTCTTCATTTTATCAACTCTGCTGTATTGATGAAGAAGTCAAGATATGGTGGGTAACTTATCCAAATTTCAGTGATGGGCCGGGTGCAGTGGCTCAATCCTGTAATCCCAGCCCTGTGGGAGGCCAAGGCAGGCAGATCATTTGAGGTCAGGAGTTTGAGGCCAGCCTGATCAACATAGTGAAACCCCATCTCTATTAAAAATACAAAAAAAATTATCTGGGCATGGTGGCGCATGCCTGTAATCTTGATTACTTGGGAGGCTGAGGCAGAAGAATCCCTTAAACCCAGGAGGTAGAGGTTGCATGAGTGGAGATTGCACCACTGCACTCCAGCCTGATTGACAGAGTGTGACAATGTCTCAAAAAAAAAAAAAAAAAAATCAGTGATGGAACTGAGCCCAAATCTGTCTGATTCCAAAGCTGTCCTGCATGGGGCAGAGTCAGGACTGGAATGGATACCTCTGCCTGCTTCCAAATATTCTTCCCTGGACAGCAGCTATGAGTGTTACTCAATCTATTTATTGATTGCGTTCTACATGTCAAATGCAGTTTAGGCCTGGGTGATAAAGCCATATATGGTCTTTGGGCCCACGAAGCTCTGAGTCAAGTATACCAGCAGATATCATTAAACCAATAAAAAAAAAGTGATGGCATCACATGCCATTTTGAACTTTTACATTAAAGTCATTAACTTACATCAGTATATGCTTTTAAGTAAAGTTTTGCTGTTTCCTGATTCATAGTAGCTAGTGATAAAATTATGAAGTTACTATTGTATGTTCTAATGACATAAAAAACTAAGTGCCTGCTCCAGCTAGTTATGTTCTCCAATATACCCTGTACATGTATTTTTTATTTAATCCTCACAAACCTCAGTTTAATTTAATATAGATTAATTATAAAAGTGATCTACCCATGTTATATAATGTTAAACCTGTAGTTTCAAAGTGTATGCTATTTCTTAAAAACAAAGATTGTCCCCACTCCAAACAATAACAGCAATGGTGAAGGTCATGGGTGGACAGAGGTTGTCCCACCTGACCCCAGGGGGCTCAGCCACCAGTGGCCGGGTCTATCCACTGCTCCCACCCCCACCCTATTTTCTCTCAAGAGAAAGATTTTCATTTTAAGATAGGCATGAGTGCAATAAAGGAGATTGATACAAAATCGTTGTGTTCTATATATCTTTTTGTAGGGTGTAGATTAATTATGGCCAATTGATACCTTAAAAAATGTCTGTTACAAATAGCAACACGGAAGTGAGATTCAAAATGTGCCCTCTATTGAAGCTAAGAAAGTAAATGTCTTTAAAATAAACATAATGGACTTTTTTTTAGTAGAATAAACAGCATACCTACACTTCAGAGGACAAATCATGTTATATAGTGACCAGGAGGGAAAGTAAAAAGAGATATTTGGATATAGAAGCAAAATGGAAATGTTGAAATTTAGGGTAGAGCAAAACTGAGGTTTGTGTGAAACATTTAACATATTAAGAACTATGACTTAAAAACTCAAAAATTTTAATACATGATAAATCTCTTTCTTAAGAAAAATAATGAAAATGGGATTTGGATGAGATAATTTTCCTTTAAATTTTTTTCTCAGAATTATGTAAATTCTCCAGCTGGCAGCTCATATTTCTGTACATGCATGCATCTGTACAAACGGTTAAACAGTTTCTCTTTCAATTCGCTGCGATCGGAAAGCTAGATATAAATATAAGCAAGGGTCTGATTAAAAGAAAACAAAGCAGACAAAAGACAAGGGAAGCAATGCATTGTTGGCCAGAAATTCCTTTTAAGTCAGATAATCACAGATAGTTGGAGCTAAGCAGTGAAGAGTGTAGGGGAACGGGGAGAGACTCTGCTTGGCCGAGTTTGCTATCCTCATTTGTCTATGTCAGTACAGCTACATGAAGTCCACAACTATTTGCATATAGCTATAAATGTAGCATGAATAATACACATACATATTCACATATGTATTTAATTGTTTACTATTTATAATTTGAATTAATTTTTAAAATAATTTCAAATACTTCTTCCATAAACTCAGTATTTGAAAACTTAAAAAAAAGTCATCTTAAATGATATCATTTATCAAGTCTGTGTGATGCTTTACAAGGTATCCGGTGAATGTAAAATTATAGCTTTTTGTCTTCATTTTAATAGGCTGTTGTAGGAACAATGTACTTAAGTGCTGTACTTACTACACTTACAAATTTCAAACAGTTTCTATAGACTGAGAACAATGTTATGTTTTTATAAATTATTAGGTGAAAGTTTTCCAGTAAGTGTTCATGTCCTATACAAATTTATTAAACATCAATTTTACATAACAACTGTAACCATTAATAAATCGTCAGTTACCACTTTTCCTGCATATCTGACAGATGGAGAACACTGTGCTTAGTGTTGAAGATACCAAAGGGAACTCAAGTGAGGGGAAAAGAGGAGAGCAAACTGATCAAAAGGGAATGCCCATGATGCTTTCAGGAATCAAGGGTGAGAACATGCTGGCTGGAGGATGGGTCTGGTTTCCAGCAGAGATGATAGGAGTTAAATGGCATAGGTGAGTTGTTCCCATCCCTGGCCTGAGCCTTACTCCATAGGTATAGAAACACAGTCTCTAGAAACAAAGGCCAGAGTATCCTTTAACTTTTATATCATAAATATTCTCAATAAATGTTTGCAATTTATTTGCTTTAATGTAACTTGCCAGTAAAGACTTTGGCCTTTGGAGGTCTGATGCTAATCCCAGTTCTACCACTTACTGGTTATCTATCAGGTACACGTTACCTACCTCTCTGTAACTTAGATTGCTCATCGGTAACATGGGGAGAGTGGTATCAACCACTAGGAGGATGAAATAAGTGAATATTTGTAAAACACGTAGCCTAGAATAGATAAATATTTATAAAGCACAGGTCTATTAAAAGTGTTTATAACATAATACATTGAAAATATGAGACTATTGAAATTAAAACATTTGGAAGATTCTAATAAATAAATAATTTAATTCAGTGCTCATTTGAAAAATATTCTATCCTCATGTTTAAATTTAACATATATAATTTATATATTACTTTTTATCCCATTTATATATATATTTACCAGAAAAATGTTTTGTAATACCTTAATTTTATGTGGAGCTGAATTTAAATAATTAGGCCTAATTTGTATGTATTGTTGGATGGGTATGTGTATTGAACTGATTTATAAAATAAAGTATTTATTAAACTGAGTTTTGCACTTCCAGTTAGAGTCACATTTAAGATGATCCTTTGAAATATTTCAACTTTTGAAAGTAGATTAAGCAAGATAAATAAAATGTATGTACATCATTAAAAAATATTCAAAATGCTTTTAATACTTTGAGTTATTTAAAACATAATCCTTGAGGCTCACTCAAATATATAGCTTTGATTTCTCTTATTTAAATGAAAGGTGAACATTGCTGTACACTGAAGTAGCATCTATAATATAATATCCCATGGTATTGACTGTGATAATACATTTCTACTTCATCATTTCTAAAAGTAAATGTAATGACTACGAAACCACATATCTAGAAATATGGACTAACAGTAAGTAAATATCTTAGATTCAGATTTTTTTTTAAATGAAAACACTCTAGAGGCTCCTCTGCGCTGGCTTGGAGAAAGACTTTTTAAAAAATAAATTAAAACCAAAAAATTATTTTTTCTTAAGGCGAAGAACTTCCCATTCCTGAACTGGAAGATTAGGCAACTTAGAACTGTCCTCCTACAAAGGGCAAATGGAAAAGCTGGACAGAATAGACAGTTCTTCCTGTAGCCACTGGAGAACTAAATACTTAGGAAAACCTACCAGACCAACAGCTGAAAAAGCCCAAATTAGTTTAGTCTGGCATTCTGAGCATTTTTCCCTGAGTACATTTCCTATTGGAATAGCATGCTGTGAAGCTGAATAGCACTTTTTGACATTTATGGAAAAAATTGAGCAAAATTTAGAGTCTGAGTATACAAAAGCAGGTAACGTCTCCATATGTGTTTGTGGCCCCAGAGGGCTGCATTCAAGGTGCACAGCTGATCTGAGGCTACATAAATAAATAGAACAGAAACAATAGGTTCAGAATCACAGTCTCCTAATGATAGAATAATCAGACCCAGATATAAAATAAATCTATATTCAAAGACCATAGAACAAAATTGGAAATTTCAGCAGAGGATTAGAAACCTAAACTGACCTAGCAACAACGACAACAAAAAAATTTCGAACTGCAAAATGTAATAACTGAAATTAAAAACTTAGTTGACTGGATTTAACAGATTAGAAACAACTTGAGAGAGAAGAGTGAATCTAAAGACAGATCAAATGAAAAGAAGTACAGATAGAAGATGCATAAGAGTAAACAATGCAGCAAATATTAAGTTGAAGTTCCAAAAGGTGAAAAAATATAGGATGTAGCAGGAAAACAATAATTAGAAACAAAATGGCTGATGGCCTTCTAAAGTTGATGACAGACAATAAAACAAAGGATTCCCAAGTACCAGCATTACAGTGAAGTGAAAGGAATTAAAAATGACAATCATAAAGGCAGCCAGAGGAAACAGATTCCATGTAAAAAAGAATTCTGACAACTGCGAATGTTTGATGCATGTTTAATATTCTTATCTTTGGATAAGAAAAGGAATTCTGAAGGCAGTTAAACATCTTTAATATGCTGAATGAAAAGAATTGCCAACTTAGAATTCCATACATATAATTAGTGCCCTATATAGTATGCAGCTGTGACTTATTAAGATCTAATACTTACTGATGTTTTATCATGTTTACAGACAATGCATTAACTATTCCCTCACCATATTTACTGTTTCGATATATCTTAATTCTGTGTGTTTTAAATTTGAAAACTTCCTCTTCTAATAATCATTATTCATTTAGCCATATCCCCACATTTGCCATTTTCTTAGTTTTTATTGCTTTCTTCACCTTTCATTGCAAATCCTTTTTCTTCTGCCTGAAGAATACGCTTTGATATTTCTTTTTGTGAATTTCTACTGGTGTTAATTTTTTCTGCTTTCATTTCATTAAAATATCTTTATTTCAACTGCATTTTTAAAGAATAAGATTATAGGCTGGGCACGGTGGTTCACACCTGTAATTCCAGCACTTTGGGAGTTTGAGGCAAGCAGACCAGCTGATGTCAGGAGTTAAAGACCAGCCTGGTCAATGTGGTGAAACCCTGTCTCTAAAAAAATACAAAAATTAGCTGGGCATGAGGGTGGGTGCCTGTAATCCCAGCTATATGGGAGGCTGAGGTGGAAGAATCGCTTGAATCTGGGAAGCAGAGGTTGCAGTAAGCCAAGATCCTGCCATTGCACTCCAGCCTGGGCAACAGAGTGAGACTTTGTCTCAAAAAAAAAAAAAAAGAATAAGGTTATAAAATGGTAAAAGCACTAGATCTTAATAAGGCAAGGAGACATACCATAATTCATATGGTAATTTGTTATATGTAGTAGTGGAATAAACAGAAGACAAAATGATCATAAAAGATATAAATACCTGAACAATAGAACTAACAAAGCTGATCTAGTAAACGGGTGCATAATTCTTCATTAAAATGCTACAAAATACGAGCATGTGGAAAATTTATAAACAATGACTTTACTCTGAGGTATAAAGTTTCATTATAAAGCATTGACATTACGTGAATTATAAATCCTGATAATTCAATTAAACTATAACTCAACAAGAAAAACTATTAATAAATAAAATGTCTCCACATAAGAAACAAAATTCCAAGATGGGCGAGGTGGTACACACCTGTGGTCCCAGCTACTGAGGAGGCCAAGGTCAAAGAATAAGTCACAACAGAATGGAAGAGGGACTATCACTAGATATTTTAAAGTGTTAAGATAATAAAATTATATTATGGGAGACTTCTGGTTCTGTCAAGATAGATTAGCCCCATTTCTCCCAGGTTCTCCATCTTACTACTAAAAACTCTGGACATAATGCAAAAAACAAGCATAAAAATCTCTGGAAGTTGGAAAGGAGGAGATGGTTGCCCAAGGACCTCAAGATTTGAGGAACGACACCCGAGTCTGTTCCATGGTTTCCTTACTGCCTCCCATAAATTCCAGACCCACCAGCAGGAACAGACCATAAACGCTCCAAGAGAAGCCAAAGCACAGGAAAAGCATGACCTGACAGCAAAAAACCCTTCTGGCTAGGTGCACCCTACTCCAGGTAAACAACTACGTACCTCTGATTTGAATGGGCCCACCAGGAGCTGGTCTCTCACCCACCCTCCAGGCATAAAAGCAGGCAGCGCTCCTGTCTTCCTGTTTGGTGATGTCTAGTCCGTTTCTGCACCTCCTGCGCTGAGAAGTGGTCTAAGTGCTGGTCATATGTTCTTTTGTGCAGAATTCCATGTGTGGGCATCAGCCCTTCTTTTAGCCCCTGGGTGGTAGTGATGTGTATATATATGTATGTGTGTGTATATATGTATATATATACATAAACACATATACAGATATAGTATGTACACACTCAATGAGTACATATGCATCCCTGTAAAGATGAATCATTAGGCTGGCCAGATGGCACTAATTTGCTTCTGAGTGGATGACTGGTGTCCCTGGGGAACAGTGCCGTATTGGGACCCAGTCTGGGCCTCTTTTCCACAAATGTTAGACATTCAGAGGTGGTGGTGGCTAGACAAGCCTGGGAAAGCATGCTACTGGGTGCATCTATCACCCCGTTGCTCTAACCTGGCCACTCCCTTCATGTGTCTGGTGGGGTTCTGGTGGAACTGATGATGAAAGATGATCAATGCCAATCGCCTGGAAAAATTACCTACTTGGTTGTTCAGTGTCTCTTTTAAGGTATGTGTTTTCTGCTGAGTGTTAACTAATGCGATTGAAAAGTCTTCACACTTTGTACTTGTGTCCATCCACAGGCCTCTGCCTCAGACCTCCTAGTCTCCAGTCTTTCCATCTTTCCTCCCAGGTCCCTGGCTGCAGCCACATCATTGGCTGCTCTCTAAGAATTATACATATTCTCCCCTCCTTTGTCTTTTAGATCTCCCCTAAAACAGGGCAGTCACTGTCAAATTTTGGCTTCACCTACTGACGGAACCCAACAATCAAGCTTGGAATTTTTCCCCATGTAAGATTGGGGAAGGGAAATGGTATGATTATTGTGGGTGATTTGGGAGTTTGATCTGTCAGCGAATGTAGCTTTCTTGGGCCCTCTGGACCTGCTTGGACTCAGTGCTGAATGAACTGCTGTTGGGTCAGTGGACTCCGCATAATGGGCAGTTCTGGGTGTGTAGTCACTTGGTGCCCCATAGTTAAGCATTCCATCTGCCTCTAGTTCTTGCATTACTATGTCTACCTCTTCTTCCATCAACCCTGGCCAATAGAGAAAACCCACCAATTAGGTGTTTAGTGACGCTGGTGCTGCTTAGACAAGTGTGCCCCTGATGGTGCCATGAATGGTGTCCTTGAGTCTTCTGTGGGGCATAATGCTCTGTTTTTTTTTTTTTAACCTCATATAATTTATCAGCTCCAGCATTCCCAATTCTGTCAGCTTCTCTATTCTTTCTTCTACCACCTACAGCTTAGACATTTCTAATTAATTGTGTTGCCCATCACTTTTTCTAGCAGTAAGTTTGCCTAAAGTCTTCAATCTTGTTAAATCCCTAAGTTTCTCATTCCTTTTCAAAGCATCAGTTTCATTTAACAGTAGTCAGCCAACTCTGCTGTCCTTGCTGGTACCCTTATCCCCTTCTTAGACCTAACCCATCACACCTACATACACAGGCCACTCAGAGGGGTACCCTCTTTGCCCAGGGAGTGGGCAGTGAATGAGTCCCAGAGCCCCATCCCACTGCGTATATTCTAAGGCCAGAAGCTCCTGGCATCACTTGAGTTAGTTTGAATCCTCTGAGAAACTGTCAAAAAAATAGGAATAGATGTGTAAGAGATATATGATAGTTTAAAATGTCTGTGAAAGGAAAAGGGAAGGAAGAGAGGAGAGGCTGGGATATCCCCTGGATAACAATGCAGGTCTGAATCCGTGAGGAGAGCAGGAAGAGGGAAGGCCTTAAGAGTGCAGTTAGCTTTGAGCAGCAACTGGCTGAGAAGGAGCGGCCCTCCGGTCATGGCTGCCACAGGAAATTCTCGCATAGCCAGGAAAGGCTGACAGAAGGCCTCTGCTATGCTCAGTCTAGAGGCATGGATGCAGCGCAAA